AACGGGAGGCTGCCGGGGCAGGCTGCGGGTCCCCTGTAGGTAGCAGGGCCGGGATGAGCGCGCGGTGCCCCCGTCGAGCCTTGGCGCAGGCCTGGAGCTGCTGCTTGGTTCCCTTCGCCTGCAGTGCTATGTCTAGGCTTAAAGCCCTGGCATCCCCCTTTGTTCCTTGCAGGAGTTTGTCCGTAGGCCCTGGGGAAGAGGGGAGTTCCTGAGGGTGCCGCTAAAGGTGCTGGGTAGGATGCTGTGACTGCTGATTAGTCATAACAGCGGTGAAGAGCAGAGCTGGCCAGATAAATTCAAAGCATATATTTAGCCTCAGTTTGCATTTGAACCATAGCGTTTTCTTTTTCCTTCAGAAATTTGACCATGTGAGTCAGTGACTCATAAATAGATCATATTTCTCCATGGTTTGCTCTGGAAGAGATGCTAGAATAGCAAGCTGCGGCGGAAACCGGGCTTATTCCTGTTTGCTCCCCGCCGGCAGTCGGAGGTCTTGCCTGAGACCCCTTGTTACTAGGCTGCTTTGCTCCCTTTTGTAATTGGCTTTATAGAATGCAGGGTTGAGGTGTGGAAAAATATTGGCATTTATGTGCATAATTTAGGAAGAAACGTGGTGGATTCTGGATTTTGTAAGGGTGTGCGCGTGAAATCCTTCTTTCCTTCCTTATCGTTTGTGAGAATTTGAGGAGGAAGCAAAGAAATCTAGACTTAAGGATCTAGCTTTTGTTCTTTTAAATGCCCAAGCACAGTTGAATGCACAAAGCAACACAAAACAATCAAGTGAATGCTTGAACCACCTACTTGGGGAAAAAAGTTGTGTGTTGCGCGAAATAATAGAGTAACCGTGCTCTGTGTACCCGCACTTCAGCTCTTGTCACCTGAATTCCATTTCTAAACGACTTGCACAGCGTACCAGCGTGGTGGAGCACGGAGGGAGGGATACAAGCCATCCCTCTTAGGAGCGACCATAGGTTTGTGTTTGGTTCCAAAGTTAGAACTTGGACCCCACGTTGAGTTTCATTATTGACCTGCTTCGGTTCTGCTTTCCAACACTCTTTTTCTTTGGTGAGAGATTTGATTTTAGTGAAGGCCACGTGGCAAACTAGAGAGTAGGAGAACCTGAGACATGATCACGTGAGAGGAGGCTTTAGACAGGATATTCTAAGGAGAATGATAAAATCCCAGTGTTCTAAAGGCTTGTATTATAAACATGTCGTCTCCCAAGTTTTCTGGATATTAAGTAATATAACAAATGCTAGTTCCTTAATTACCATAGGAATTTGGAGATGGGAGACCTGAAGAAGCGTAAGGGGAAACGTACTATTCCTTTGTCAGGGTGTCATCTGCTCTGCTCTTGCACCCTCCTTCCAGGCTGCTCTGTCATTTGCTACCTTGGTGTTTGACTATCAGTTTTTCAGTTGCTCTCATTCTTGTTACCGGTCCTGAAATTTCTGAAATGCTCCATGAAACTGGCTCATCAGCTCATTCTGTCAGGCTGTAGAGCAAGTGGTGGTTTTTTTGCCTGTGCACTTTGGCTACAGATTATTAGTTATGTGTTTAAAAAGGAGTTTTCAGTCCACCTACTGAATTATGCTTCTGTGAATGAAGTAGTTCATGATAATCATCCTTATAATCTATTCTTAATTAGAAAGATAAAGGTGAGTGGACAAAACGATGGTATGTTAAAGAACTGAACTCTAGTGATGAAGAAAAGAAATCCTTCCTCTGACTCGTGTACCTGAAAAAGCTGGGAGAACAGAAAGCTTTTTTTGTTGTTTTTGCTTTGCTTTTTAGAATTTATTTGTTTTGATTTACCTAGAATAAAGGGTATAAAATCCAGCCACTAGCACCAGGCCAGTCAGGTATTCTGCTCACTAGTCACATTCCAAAGTGTTAATTAAAAGTGTCCAACTTGATACTCCATGGGGGATAAGGTTTCCAGAAAGTGAGATGCCCAAAATCATTAGCCGCTTAAAAGCGTTGAATGTTGTTTCTAGATGTTATTGCTTGCCTTTTTATGAGTTTTGCTTCCTGCTGTCAGTGCTCCAGCACTCGCCCTCTGTTTCTCCTGAAAGTCAGATAAGACACTTGAGTTTGTGTACGTATTTCACAAGGGATTAGCTGAGAAACGCAGTAACTCTTGTACTCCGTTGTTGCAGGCAGGTGGACTAATGTCTAGATTGCATGCAAATTCTTACAGTTGTTTGGATTTCTTTCATAATGCTGAAACTCATTGCACAACAGAGGAAACATGTAGGTTATACCGCCTGATGAACAATATCATGCTCATGATTGCTAATGGCTGGGGAAA